AATAAATGAATTTACTTCCTTTAATTTTTAACCTAAAAATATTCAAAATTTAATCAGAGTTAGTTTTTTAGCACCAAGTGGTTCTTTTTTTTTAGAAAACGAAAATTCTTAGGAACTTTTCATAGTTAAAAATAATGAAATAAAGTCTAAAATTTTCCCTTTTTTAAACAAAAATAATAATTTTTAAAAAATTCCTTTTTTTTCCATTTCTGGAAAAGCCTAAAATGTTAATTAATTTTTGAATTAAAAATTATACTATTGTGGTGTAAATCCTAAAAATTAACCGCATTTTTTAATTTAGCATTATGAATTATAATAATAATAATAATAGAATACTGCTGGTAAATTCATAATTACAGAAAAAAAAGCTAATAATAATGAAAAAATAGAAAAATATTGTAATTATTAATTCGGAGACACTACTAATTTCAAGGGAAATTTTTCTTTAATCACAACTCCCAAAAAAAATCAATAACAAAACTCAAATATATAAGAAATATAAGGAAGAATACTTTATTTTAACTCTTAAAAAAAATAAGATGAACCTATTTGTAATTAGAAAATTTCTTTATTTGTAAAAAACGAAATTGGATAAAAGACAGAATTACTTAGTACTTTTTCTGATGAAAAGAAGGGATATTTTTCATTAAAAATACCTCTTTTTAATTATGAATATGAAGCCGAAATGATAATTTAGGGAAAAAATAAAGAAGAAACTTAGATTCCTTTAAATTTAGGAAATTCTTAAAATAAAAAAATATCATTAGGAAATCTATATTTAGTTTCCATTTTCGGAAAAACCGAAATTCCATTAGATAACTAATGTTAATAAAAAAAATAAACTATATAAAAAAATTCTAAGAAACATTTTAAATTCAGACAATTTTTTTAATAAAAACCTATTTATTGTCCTTTTGATTTATTATGGAATAACTCTAAACAAGAAATACTTCCTCTTAAAAATAATTTATAATAATAATAAAAATTTTTACTTTAAAATATTTCTTAAATACCTTTCAGAAGTATAAAAATATAACTTGTCGATTTTTTAGAAAATAAGCCTTTTATCAAAAAATAAATTGTGAAATTATATAAATCAAAAATTTCATGTGATATAGATAGTAAGTAAAATAATGAAAATTATATTTTGATATAAACTAAATAAGGAGAAGCTATTTTTTTCAATTAATCTCTAGGAGATTATACATTAGTAATAAACGAAATTGATGGTTTTTATCCCTATTGTTAATAATTTAATGTTTCTTATGATGAAAAATATTCTATTTATAAATTTAATGTTAATTTAGTTAAAGAAGACAAAAGTTAGTTTGCTATTGTTTTGGAGCATTTTAATTAAAAAAATGATGGGCCTAAATTTTCATTAGGAACAAGTTTTATTTTAAGTGATAAAAAAGAATGCTTAATAAGTCATTTTTATAAATAATGTGAATAATATTAACTTATAGAAAGATAAAAGATTTAAGGTATTTTTATAGAAAATGGAAAATTAGTTGAAAAATTAAAACATATTTTCTTTGTTTCAAAGATTCCTAAAAATTCATAAGAAATAGAAGCTATAGAGAATTTAAAATATAAAAAAAATGGAGGATAAGTTAATAATAATGATTTTATTAAAGAAAATATAATAATCAAGGTCTATGGAAACGGAAATAAAAAATAATATAAAGAAATATTTACACCTAATTTAGAATAAGAAGATTTAGAAGAAAAAGTTAATTTGGTTTGGAACATATTCTGCTTTAATGGAGAAAATAATAGCTTTAAAGAATTAAATGAATATTATTATAATAAAGAAGATTAAAGATAAGCCATTCCTCATGTAAGTTTATGTGAATGAAAATATATATTATTTTATTATAAACATTTATTTTTACATTTATATGTTTTTAATGAAAAATAAATTTTATATATTTTAAAAATAATAAATTAAAATTTATAAATATATATAGATATATATATATATATATATAATTTATAATTTATAATTTATAATTTATAATTTATAATTTATAATTTATAATTTATAATTTATAATTTATAATTTTTTTTTTATTTTTTATAAATTTAATTCTTTTTATTTTTTTTAATATTATAATATTTTTGATATTTTTTATAATTATATTATATAATTATTAATTCAGATAGAATATTTTATTATTATATTTATTCGTATATATAATAGTATAATTTTATTACAAATTTTATACTTAATATATATTATAAATATATTTAATTTTTTTTTTCATATATATTTATTTTACTAATTTTTTTATAATTAGTCATTCATTGGCTTGTATTTTTATAATCATATACACTATTAATTTTTTTTAAAAAATTATTATTTAAATTAATTAATACAAAACAATATATTTAATTTTATATAGTAAATGAAATAAAAAAAAGAAACTATAACAGAGGATTATAAATAAATTATTTCATCTTCTTCAAGTATTGAAGGAGAATAAATAATTTACAAATCTAAAGCTCGTTTGCATTAAATAAATTAAGAAATTTATTCATAATATTTAAAAAAAATTATTTATCCTAATGTAAAAAAATAGACTCTAATCTACGTTTTTTAAATATATATATATATAATATTTTAGGAATTAAATTTACCAATACTAGGTCCCTTAATACACCATAAAGTAAAATAAAATTAAAAAAAATAAAAATAAAAAAAAATTGAAAAAAAGAATAATTTTAGTGCAGATTATAACATTTAAACACTATAATAAAAAAATAATTAATATATACCTAATTTTAATTAAAATATATCTCCTATTTACTAATAATATTATTAATAACAACAAAATAAATATCCTAATTCACCTTATTTAAACAATATGTAAAATTAATTAAAAATGCATAGGTATAATAACTCATATCAATTTTAATAATAAAATAATATTAATAATTTTTAATATTAATAAATAAAATAAAGTGCAATAAATCCTTAATTGTAAAAAATGTAAAATTTATTACAAAATTAATAATCATAATAATTTTAAATCTAATAATAATAATCGTAATTATAAAAATAATAAAAAATATAATAATATCAGTAATAATTTTTGAATCCATAATAAAAATAATTATATTATAGTAATCATAATAATAAACATAATTATAATCTTAAAATTAATAATAAAATTAATAATAATAGTAATAAAATTAAAAAAAATAGTAATAGTAATAATAATAGTAATAGCAATATTAATAATAGTAATATTAATAGCAACATTAATAATAGTAATATTAATAATAATAATAATAATAATAATATTAATAATAATAATAATAATAGTAATAGAATTAACCATTTTTGAAATAAAATTAAAATACAAATGTTTCTTTACCTTAAATATAAAATGATTAAATAATAAGTCCTAATTAAATAATTATAAAAAATACTAAAATAAAATAAAATGAAAATTTTTAAATTGATAACAGTCCAATAGTTTCTAATGAATAATAATAAATAGATTTAAAAAAAAAAAGCAAATTTATTAATCCTTAATTGCAAAACGATAACCTAAATTAAGATTAAGACTAAGATAATGAAAACGAGCAGAATCAATCACGAAATAACAATTTGAGAAAAAAATCTTACAAATAAAAAACACAAATTAAATAAAAACATAAAAAAAATATACATAACTCTTCATCTTCTTCAAACTCTTAATAATCTTTTAAATCTTCCTCTTAAGATGAAGAAAAGAATTAAAAGTAAATACGGTTAACAAATATAAGAAAACAAACAAAAAAAATGACCTAATCAAAATAATAATAATAATAAGAATAAGAGAAAGAATAAGAAAAAGAAAAAGAATAAGATTAAGAAGTTATTTAATAAACAAAAAAAACAACAGTATTAATAAAGCCGCCAGATTAAAGAAAAAAAACAAAAATTCGTTAATTAACAAGAAAAATAAGTAATTAATCTGAAGAATCGGATGATTTAGATGAATATAAACCTAAATAGGAAAAAAAAAAAACCTATATAAATGAAAATTATAACTAAAACATGCAAGCATAGAGAAATAGAAGTAGAAAATAAACTAGAAATTAAAACAATACCATTATTAATGAAAACGACTCTTAAATAAGAAATAGAAGCAAAAAATAAACAAAAGTATAAAATAATAATACTATAATAGTTTAAAAAGTTAAATAAGATGATGATGTTGACGATAATATTGATGAAGAACTTGAACTAAATTAAAAAAGAAATAATAAATAAAAAACTATGATAGCTTAAAAAAATTAAAAGAAAACTACATTTTATAATAATTCTTAATTAGAAGAATAAAATGAACCAAACAATATATAAAATTAATAAAGAAAAAATATAGGTTAAAAAAAATCAAAGTTTTATGAATGAATAATAATGAAAATAATGTATTTTAATGTATATTAATGCTATATATTTGTATTGTATTGTATTGTATTGTTTTATTTTTTTTTATTTTTACTAAAATTTCTAATAATTTAATATAATTTTTTTTTTATTGAATTTATTAATAGAAATTTCTTATTTACATATATTTATTTTTTATATTTTATCTAATATAATTAAACATTTAATCATTTTAAATTGTAAATTTTATAACATATATAGCAATTATTTCTTATTAATTATTATTATCTTTATGTATTTTATAATCATAAACTTTTTTGATCATCATTTAATTCTAAAAATATTAAAATAGTCTTAAAGTTTATTAATATTTTTTATTAAATTCTAATTAATTAAAATAATAAAATAGTATTTTTAATTGATTCTATTAAAAAAAAATATAATTATATTTTATTTACGAAAACTTTCCTTTTAGCGGGAAATATTTTGAATTTATTATTCCTTGTAGTTAATTTTTTGAAATAAAAAGACTCATATTTTTAATATTATAAAAGATAAAGAAATTAATTTTTTTTTTTTTTTTCTAAAAAAACGATTAATACATGAAATAATCATCCTTAAACATATTTTTATCCCAAAGTCAGAAAAAAACTTCCAAAAGTATAATCGAAAATTTACCAGTTCAAAAACTAATTTAAGAAAACAGAATTAAAACTGCTTCAAAGCCCAAAAAAGAAAAAGAAAATATAAAAAATCATACCAAAACCACAGAAAAAGAAGAATAAGGAAATTAAATTTCCAAAAAGAAGATTATTAAAGAAGATATTCCTGAAAATAGTCCCGAGAAAAGTTCAAAATAAGTACAAGAAGAATCTTAAAACCCAAAAAAAGGATAAAAAAAATTAAAAACAAAAAGGCAATTATAATAAGAATAAGCATAAAAAATATTAAAAAAACGAACTTTAATTTAACAAAAAAAATACTTAAATTCTTCAGAATCTTCCTCTTAGGAAAGTGAAGAAGAAAAATAATTAGAATCCGAATCTGAATTCCAAGAAATTAAAGGAGAAGTTAAATACATAGATGACCGAAAAGACTTTCAAACACAAAATTTAAGAATAGATACTTTATTTTAAAAAATTTAATAGGATTAATCTTAAAACAATAATATTCCAAAAAAAGTTAACAAAGAAAATGGAAAACTAACTGAAGAAAAATTAAAAGCTTTTTTTATTTCAACTTAACCATCAAATAATATTACTAATAGTAACTAAGAATAGTTGATTTCAGAAAACGGAGATAATGAAAGCATTAATTCAGCTTTGGAAGCACTTATGAAAATCGAAGAAAGACAACAAAACAATTTTTAAATGGATATCGAAAAAAATATAGAAAATGACGAATACTTATAGAACAAATAGAAAGAACAAGAGGAAATTTTAAAATAAAAACAAGAATAAGAAATTTTACTTTAAAAATAAAAATAAGAATAAGAAATTTAATACTTAAAATAAAAATAAGAGTAAGAAATTTTATTATAGTAAAAAGCATAAGAATAATATTTTATTTAATAATAATAACAATAATATGAAAATCTAAAACAATAATAAAATAATTAAAAAATCTTCCAAGAAGATGAATAGATTAAGCCCGATTTTATCTAAAACGCCAATTTTTTTATTCATTCGCCTTATAATTCAATAAAAAGTGAACTTCTTGAAAAAATAATTACATTAAATAAAGGAAAAATATATACAGCTTTAAATCAAAATGCTACTTATATATTAATAGGTGACCAAAATCAAAGGCCTATAATGATTGAAAGATCTAAATAATTATAAATAAAACCTCTAACAGAACAAGATTTTAAAATTTTATTTGAAAAAGTCCTCCAAAAACCATTCTCTTAAATCCAATAAGAAACCGAAAATTTCATTTAAAAATAAAAAGAAGTTCCAAAAGTCTCTTAATAATAGCCATTTTCTCAACCCCAACCTTAAAAAACAGTATAATAAATACCTCAAAAATAATCCTTTTAAAGCCTATAAAATACTACCTAAAACTAAAACACATAAAAAAAAAATACTGAAAAACACCTCTGGACACACAAATACTCACCCTAATATCTCGATAGTTGTGTAGGAAATTTCCAACAAATAAAAAAGATTGAACTATGGTTACAAAACTGGCATTCAGTCGTTATAAAAAAAGAAACTAAAGGCCAATCTAAAAACTGGAAAGAAAATACAAGTGCAAAAGCCTGTTTAATATCCGGACCTCCGGGTATTGGTAAGACTTCAACAGTACGACTTTTGGCCAAAAAATACGAATATCAAATAATAGAATGGAATGCATCAGATGTCAGAAGTAAAAATTAACTAGAATAATTAGTAAAGCCCTTAAGTTCTAATTGCGTATTAGGATAATCCAATAGAAATAATAAAGCGATTATTTTAATGGACGAGATTGATGGAATGTCCTCTGGAGATATAGGAGGAAGCTAATAATTACTCAAAATAATAAAAGAAACTTAAATTCCTATTTTTTGTGTATGTAATGATAGATATAATTAAAAATTAAAATCTATTGCTAACTACTGTTATGATATTAGATTTTTCAAACCGCAAAAACAATAAGTAGCAGCACTTTTAAGTAAAATTTGTGTTTAGGAAAAAATTAAAGCAGATAATCTTGGGCTTGAACTTTTGGCCGAAAACGCTAATTGTGATATTAGATAGGCTATTAATTATTTATAAATGGAATCTTAAAATAAAAATAATAATATTTTTTCAATTAAAAGCTTAAAATTAGCTTCTAAAGATGATATGGTTTCTCTTAATATTTTCGAGGTATTTTTAATTTTTAAATTATATTATATTTATTAAAAATATTATAAAATAGGCTTGTAAATTATTATGTACTCGTTAAAATTTTCAACATATGAACAATAAATAATTAATGGATATGTTTTACTTAGATTATTAAATAATGCCTTTATTAGTCCATGAGAACTATATATCAGCTACAGCATAAAAATCTAACTTTTCAATAGAAGAGCTGGAACAATTAACAAGAGCTACAGAAGTATTTGGATAGGCAGATATAATTTAAAGTTCCATCCTAAAAAATCAAAACTGGTCTCTTTTACAAAATTTGGGATTTTTATCATGTATTTATGTTCCTAATTGCTTTTGTGAAAGACCAAACTAAAATGTATAAATGACTTAACTTTATGGAAAAATGTCATCAATGAAAAAAACATATAGATAAATTAAAGAAATTCGAAATTGTATAGGTTAATATATTTCTGGAAATAGATATAGTGTTTAATTTTAATATTCAGGTGCTCTTTTTGAAATTATTATGAAAGTTTTGGAAAAGGATGGAAAAAACGGAATTAATTAAATTTTATAAATTCTAGAAAATTATAACCTTTCATTAGATTTCTTAAAAGAAAATTTAGTCGATGTATAATTTGGTAAATTTGCAGAAGAAAGAATGAAAAAAATTCCAGCAGCTGTAAAAACTGGATTAAGTAAAAGTTTCAAAAAAAAATATAAAGAAAATTAGAAAGATAGTGATGTAAATGATAAAAATAAATAAAATTATGTCGAAGAGTAGGAAGATATTTATGATTTAGGATAAAATGAAAATGAAAATCTTTTAGAAATAAATATTCTTTGATTATTATTATATATATATATATATATATATATACATATGTATATTTATGCTGTTAATTTTCTTGAATAATTAATATTAAATTATTATAAAAAAATAAAATATATAAATATATATATATATATATATATATATATTTATTTATATAAATATAAATATTAATCATATTAAATTAAAAAATAAAAGATATTATTACGATATTTATAAAATATAAAAATAACTTTTAATTTTAATTAAATAAAAATGATCTTAGTTAGAAATTCCAAATTTTTTAAAAGCACCATTATTTAATCTTAAAAGCAAAAAATTTCAACTATAAAAATTCCTGAAAATTTAAAATATGATAGGCCTTATTGTATGAAAATCAAAATATAATAAAATAAAACAAAAATTAAATAAAAAATAAAGAGGAAACAACTTTAGAAAACGGAATAAGAATATGTAGTGAAAGTTGGCCATCACCAATATGCACGTAAATAATAAAATATATTAATTATACTATAGAACAGTTTAAATAATAAATTAAAGAGTTGCAGCATTTATAAAATGTGGAAGTCGAAGTGAAACATTAGAAACATCAGGAAGTGCTCATTTTTTGGAACATTTGCATTTTAAAGTGATTAAAAAATAAAATGAAAAATTTCAATAAAAAATAAACTAAAATAAAAAAAGGGAACTTAAAAACGTTCTCGTATATAATTAGAATTAGAAATAGAAAATAAAGGAGGATAATTAAATGCATATACATCTCGAGAAAACACTTGTTATACAATGAATGTATTCAAAAACGATTTAGACTGGAGTTTAGAATTATTATCAGATATTTTATAAAATTCCAAATATGAAACCAGTGCTGTAGAAGACGAAAAAAATACAATATATACTGAATTAATAGAAACCTAAAAAAACTTAATGGAAACCACAATAGAAATTTCTCATAAAGGAGTATATAAATAATATTTATATTATATATATAGACAAATAAATATATAAAAAAGGCTTACAAAGGTCATTAAATGGCGCTACCTATATTAGGAGAAATAAATAATATATTCTCTGTAACCAGAGATATGGTACTAGAATATCACAATAGAAATTATTTTGGTGAAAACCTAATAATAATAGGTGCAGGAGATCATGACCATTAAAAATTAGTTGAAAGTGTGCAAACTCACTTCGCAAAAATGCCCAAAAAATCTCCAATTTAAACTTTGCTATAAAATTAGGACATACCAAAGTTTAACAGTGAAGTAAGCTTATTTAAAAAAGATGATGATAGTAAAAATTTAAATTATTCTTTTATGCAAGAAGCTCCTTCTTGGAGAGATCCTGATTATTATTCGTTTTTAATTGTATAAAGAATTTTAGGTGATAAACCATAATCTTTATTAGACATAGAATTATTAAATAGTATGTATATTTATATATGTGTATAATTATTTATATTAACAAAAAAGACTCTGATGTTAATATTTATTAAAAAATGTTGAATTAAATTGAAGGTGTAGAACTTTAGAATGGAGTGTATACACCATATAATGATACTGCTCTTTTTGGAAATTATTATAATGGAAGCCCTGAATCGTTAGGTTAAATTTTGTAGTTATAACAAACTATTTGGTAGAAAATTAGAAACTTTATTACTGATAAGGAAATTTAAAGAGCTAAAAAAAAACTTTATATTGAATTATTTTAACATGAAACCGGAAATGATATTTCTTAAGCAATTGGAAATCATATCCTATATTTAAATAGAAGAATTTTTAGATCTGAAATAGCATATAGAATTGCTGCTTTGAATAAGGATGATATTGTTTAAGCTATTGATTAATGGTGTGTTGATAAAGTAATAATTTTATATTATTTATTTATTTAATTTTTATTATAAATAAGCCTTATTCTATTACAATATGGGGAAAAGTAGATGATTTAATTAATTAAGCATCAAATATTTAATAATAATGATTTATTATATATAAATTATATTTTTGAAATAAATTATTTAATAATATAATTAATTTTTTAAAAAAAAAATAAATAAATAATATATAAAAAATTATAAGATTATTTAATAAAAGATATAAATATTAAATATATATAAATATAAAAAATATATATATAAATTTATATATTTTTATATATATAGATATATTTTTATTTAAAAAGTATAAATATAATTATAATTATTAATATAAATTAATTAAAAATATTCATTATTTGCAAATATTAATATAATTTATATTTTTTAAAATGATATTTTAAATTAATAAACTTAATATTTTATATTAAGTTTATTAATGAAAATCATAATATTATTATGTTTTTGAATAATAATCTTTTATTTTATATAATTCTTTATGAAATTAATTTTAAATTGAAATTCATATTATCTATAATAAAATATAATATTACTAATACTCTATAATGTTTAAATTATATATTTTATTTTTTTAATCTTTACTTTTAAAAAAATAACATATTTAAATCTAAAAGCTTTTAAAATCTTATTATGTTAAGTTTAGAAAACTAAAGTAAAATAATTACATAAAATATTTTATATTAATTAAAAAAATATAGTTGATGAATCTTTGTTATTTGAAAGTGTAAACCTAAACATAAAATAAAATGCTCAAAATAATAATCAAATAGAAGATAAGAATCAAAACCAAAAATAAATAAATTATTAATAATTATATAATTCCTTTTTAAATGAACACAATAATTATAATCCTTTCAAAAAACCTCCAAATTTTTAATTTTCCGAACAACACGAAAAAGCAAATTCGATTGGATAATTACCTAATTTAAAAGAATGGAAAAAAAGAGGTTTTTATTGTATATGTTGTAATTTGCCTTATAATAAAGAATATTTTAAATTATGTTGTGATATTAATAAATTTTCTAAATTAGGAACTGCCTTTACTTTATTTTTTTACTATATAAAATAAATGATTTTTTTATTATTTTTAATGTTCCTTTTATTAGGTTTTGAGTATATTTTTTTGACTAAAATAAATTAAAATATATTTTTTTATAAAAAGTAATTTTATTCTTAGTTTTTATAAATGCAATAAAGAATTAAAAAACTGTGAGTATTTACTTGGGATAGTTTATTTAATTAAAGATTAAAAGATTTAAAAAATCAATTAATATATGAACTTTGCTGTTTTTTGGATTTTATTTATTCTGGTGATTTTATTCAAAATATCATAAGATATAAAAGACAAAGAATGTAACAAAAACTCTTTAAGAAACAGTCATTTTTCTATTCTATTAAAAGGAGTAAAAAAACAAATTGCGAGGAAGAATTAAAAGAATATTTAACAAAAAACTTAATTTATGGAAAAAATATAAATATAATTAATATAAACAGAGTCTTTAAAATAAGAGAATATATAGAATTATAATCTTAAAAAATAAAAATTTTAAATGAAAAGAAAACAGATGAATAAAAAAGAATATTTAAGTTGCAAAAAATAAACCAAAAAATAAAAGATTATGAATAGAAATATTAAAATATAAATTCAGAAAACATCAGAACTTCCTTTGTTTTTGTTACTTTCGAAAAACAAGATGAATGTTAAGAAATAATCCAAAAATATATAAAATATTGGTATTCTATTTAAAACTTTAACTTTTAAAATTAAAAAATTAAGCTTTTAAGAGCTCCTGAGCCTTTAGACATCATATGGGAAAACTTAGAAATCGGAATAAAAGAAAAAATTAAAAGAAGGATAATTAGTTTTTTATTAATAGTAAATATATTTTATTTTTTTTATAAAAAAACATAATAATTTAAAATAAATATTTATTAATAACAAAAAAAAATAGCTTTTCTTTACAACAGCTACTTTATTTTTATTATCAATTATAAGTAAATATTAAAAAATACTCTTAGAAGATATAACTGATGAAGAAACAAATATCACATATATAGTTAATAATTTGAATTTATATTTATTATCAGTAACATTTTCTTGTATAGTTTTAGTAATAAATGTTATTATGTTAATAATTGTAAAAAAATTCGCTGCTTTTGAAAAATACTCAACTTTTACATTATAAAATATTTCCGTAGCAACCCGTTTGACATGGTATTAATTCATAAACACATCTATAGTACCTATAGTAACTTTCATGCTTTTTTTGAAAGGGAAAAGTAATTAAACATATGTAAAATACTTAGCTTAAAACTAATTTTTTATATATATTGGTAATTTTATTTTCTCGCCTTTTTTTACTGTTTGGGAAATCGAATACATATACAAACGTATCAAAAGATATTTATATATAAAAAAAGGAGAATAAAAATGCCAAAAAACATAACAAGAAATGAACTAAATATTCGAAAAACCAGAATTTTTAATATAAGAGTATTACGCAATCGTAAATAATATAATTTTAGGAGGAATTTTTTACAGTTCTTTGTTCAGTATAGGTCTTATTATTAAAGTTTTAACTCTTTTTGTTCTTTATTGGGCTTTTAAATTTTGCTTTTTAAGACATTCTGGGTTTCCAAAATGTATAGGAAATGGACTTAATTATGCAATGTAGGAAGTAATGTTTACATTCCCAGGAATTTTTTTTGCAGGGAATTTTGTTTTCCAAAGCCTTTTTTTAGATACTGATGAGAAAGTAACCATTAGTTCGCCTTTAAATTTAGTTTAGCTGGTTTTTTCAGTACTTTTGGTTATTTTTTCTCAGATTTTCATTAAATTATTTAAGTCTTTAGTATCCAAAAAAAAATATTCTAATAAAAATAATAATTATTTGGATGAAAAAGATATTTTAGGCATACATTATTAATAAATTAATCCAGTCACAAAAAAATTTAAAGAAAATTTATTAACGCCTTTAAAAACTGATTAAATAATTACTAATGAAAATTAATAGTAAGTTTCTTTAAGAATTATTGGATTAGAAAATTATGCAATTGAATAAATATTTTTTTAATAAATGAGATCTTAATAATAAATTTTAGAAGCAATTATAGAAAAAGAGGAAAATATAATAAATAAGAATAAAAAAAAGATTATATATGAGTAGAAAATTAAAAATAATTAAATAATTTATAAATAAATAATATGAATATAATGATTGAAAAAAAAAAAAAAACATACATATATTATAATATTAAATATATATTTATAAATATAATAAGTAAAAAACTTAAATTAAATAAAATATATATATTATTTAAATGTGTAAAAAAAAGAAAAAAATTATTGAAAAAAGGCAAAAATATTACAATTTATAAATAAGGCATTTTAAAATTAATATATTTTAAAAATAAAATCAGTATTGCAAATACTTAAATTTGTATAATAATATATTTTACTAATTCAAATACTAATTAATTAAGTAGATTCTTCATCAATATAATAATCATCATCCTAAAGAAAAATATATATATATATATATATATATATATATATATATATATTTATTATATTTTTAAAAATTTATTTTTTATTTCTTTTATATAATTTAGTTATACTTAAATATTATTATTTAAAAATATTAATATATTTTTTTTTTATGATTATATTAAGTATTAATTATAATGTTAAAATTATGCAAAATGCTTTTATAAACTTATATTAATTTTAAATGTACTTCAATTTAAGATTTTCTATCTTTAAATAACCCAAATATAAAAAATAATAATTTAAGTCCTAAAAACGCAACATTACTAAAGAAGAAAGTCATAGCGAAGAATGGTAAACTTAAGCTCATTCTTTATAAAAAATAATATAAAAAGCTAGTATATATTAATATTACTTATTATAAAATATAGATATGTTTGACATAATGCAAATATATTTGGATTAAAAACTAACATTTCTTAACATACATTATTCACCTGCTAAATTTTTTTATGCTCCAAAAGTTGTATATTAAGGAGACATATACATAATCTAAGATGTCATTACCATAATACAGATAGTCGCAAAAAATGAAAAAATAATCAAAGCTTATGGTTAGCTGCTATATTTTCTTATTTCAAAATATTTGATTCCAAATTTTATTAAACCATATAATAATGAAATATACATATTACCTGCAATTATAAAGAAAATTAAATAATCCATGGGATAATAATTGCTCATATATACCAATAATTAATCTAAAGGATTAAATGTATTTTTAGAATCATATATATATCCACAACTTAATCCACATTAAGAACCTTTTATCTAAAATATATAATATATAATGTATATATATATATATATATATATATATATATATATTTTCTTATATATATATTATATTTATATTTTATTTATGAATTTTTTTACTCTATCATAAGTTGATAAAGCAAGAGAATAAAAAATTAGTACTGATATAGTTAACGAACATATGCCTAGAAGTATTCTAAATGGCGCTAAAACCTTAAAAAGAGTTTACAAGTTATCATTTGAACTATCTTCTAATTCATTAAGACGCGAATTCTTTATATTTAAAATTCTATTTAAATTTATTAAAATAAAATTAAAAAGAAAATCTACCTTTCTTTTTTTTTAATTTGTTTAAATTCATTTTATCACTATTAGATAGTTTAGAATTATTTTTAGCATATTTTCCTTATATAGATTTATATTGTAATCTAACAGAATTTAAATCACTATTAAGTTCATTTTTTTCTTATTTTAATGATTTAGTTCCTTTAATTAAATATAAAGGTAAATTTATTAAACCATAACTTCCATAAATCACCCATAAAATACTACCTAAACAAATAAAGACTGCAAAACAAAAAGATATTGATTATTCTCCAACTTATTTTTTATTTTAAAATAAGCTTTTTTTTTTTTTACCATGCTCTACATCAAATATTTATTTAATCCATTATACTTCGTTTCCTTTTTCGATTGAAGTTCTATTTTTTTATTTAATTATTAGTCCGCTTAGTAATAATATTACAATTATTAAGATAAATACAAACTTTTTTATAAAAATAATTTTAATTATATTATATATATTACAGTATTTTTTAAAGATTTATATATCTTCTAAAAATTAGAGGTTGTATCTAAATAAAATTCATAATCGAAGTCTTTTTGCCTTTATTCGCAATAAAAATAAGAAAAAGGAAGTAAAATAAAAGAACATAATATCAAAAGACCATAACATTCTACACATAAAAATAAAAAACAAAAAATATTTTAAATATAAGTTGATAAAATTAGTTTAAGTTAAAAAAATTATAATAAAATAAAAATTACAGAAAGCAAGTTTTTGCATAAAACTTTAATTAACAACTAAATCTAATGTTTTAAAGCTATTTTCCTTTTTTTTTTTTTTTAGTTTTTATTTTGTAATAAAAAAATTAAAAATATTCTTGATATTATAATATATATATATATAGCATTATTTTTACTTTGTTTTATGTTACTAAAATATCAATAGGAATTATTAATAAACAAATCATACTTACGACTAAACTTAATTAAATTAATAACTTATGATTAAATAAATTAAAAAATTATATAAAATTACCTTAAAATAATAGAAAATTTCACAATAAGATAACATTCAGAAGAATCAATATAATATTTATAAATCATTCTGGCAAACACGAAAAGAATCTATTTAATATATATATGTATATAATTTAAACAAATTGTTTTATTTTATAATTAGATTATACTAAAAATAAAAATCCTAATAAAATCCATGTTAAATACATTCTATATGAAAATTATGAATTTTTGTTAATTTTTATTTTTTGATAATATTAATTTTTTTTATAATTTAATAATAAAATATTAAGCAAATATATAATAATCTTATTTTAAAATAAGCGTTTTTAAAAAATATAAATATTAACAAAGATATATATATATATATATAAATAAAAATATATATTTTTATATATATATAAATATATATATATATATATATTTATATATATAATATTAATATAAATAATATTAAATTATTTTGTAAATTTTAAAATATAATCATATTAATTTAATTTTATAAATAATAAATAGAAAATAAATAAACTACATAATAAAATTATTTAATACAAATTTATTTATTTTAACTTTAAAATAAAATCATTTTATTGGTGGAATAAAAGAAGGAGGTGCATCAAATTATTAAAATTTATGTTTATAAACATCTAATAAGAACCTATAATCTACTAAACCATTTTTTTTATCTGCAAATTCAATAATAACATTATACTAATAAGGTTTTAAATTAATACCTTGTTATTTAAATAATTTATCTAAAATATCAATGACTATATGAACAGGTAATCCTTATTATCCTTATATTGACAAATCTCTAGAACTTTCAGCCTAAATAAATTATTCTAATAATAACTTTCTATTTTTAGCAATAATAATTTAAGTTTTATCATATTCAGAAGATTATTCCCATTTGCTAGGATTATTTTCAATTTCTTAATAAAATTAAAATAAATTTTAAATACCATTTTATTATTAACTATTTATAGAACTTCCAACAGTTTTTCTTAAATCATTATTTTTAATTGATTTTTAAAAATCTAATAAACTCTGATTTATTTTTATAGGATATTTTTTTTAATATTAAGCTTTATTTTATTTATTATATCTATCCTATTTATTTTAATTTTTTTTATTATATATATATATAAATATATATTTTTAACATCATTATTAATAAAAACTGAAGTCCATTCTTATAAATCAATTTTATTATCTTACTTTTAATCTATAAAATCGAACATATCTTTCGAAATTGAATAACTAATTTATTCTTAACCAGTTAATTATTGTATTTATTACATAAATCTTGTAAAGTCTTAAAAATCCATATATCCTTTTTTTTAAGTATCATACTATTTATTAATATTAATAAATATATTTAAAATTTAAAATAAAAAGTACTTCTCTAAAAGCATCTTTTGGAGAAATCATATATTCATATAAAGCTTATTTTAATTAATTAATTCTTTATGAAGATCTTTCTTTAATAGCAATTTCGTTAGGAGAAATTTTCAATAAAGTTAATAAATTTAAATACTTACAATATTAATGTTATGTAGGATCTGCAAATTAAATAATTTATCCTATTTCTTAAGAGGAAAGCCCTAAATTCAATTTCAAAAGAATATTTTTTAATTAAATATTATTAATAATTCCAGTATTTTGAGGATCATATAGTCTAAAATAGTCATGAATATTCTTTTTATTTGCAATTAGAAGTTACTTAAGCTTATTCATTATTTAATATTAATTTGTAATAATATTATTGGGGTAAAGAGTTCTATTTTCAATGCTGAAAATACTATTAAATTATTCAAAATTTAAACATGAATTATCTTATTCAATAGTACTATCGTAATTCGAATAATTATATTAAGAATTATTTGAATGATATTTTTTAAGTTTACTATTCAATAAATTCCATATACTTCTTTTAAGTTTATTTAATTATTTTATATCTGGAAAAAAACTATCCATAGCTTTCGAAAAATTCTCAAAATATAAATTTGGTTAATTTTAGGTAAAAAAATTAAAACCTTCTTTTAAAGAAGAAAAACCATTTATTAATTGTTGTCTTATTTATTCAATATATATATCGTTTTTATCTATTTTTATATAAATATAATTAAAAAAATAATAATAAATAATTATAAAAATATATATATATATATATATATATATATATATTTATATATTTATTTATATATATATATACTCATATAATTTTTAGTTGCATTTTTCCAATCATTAAAAGTTATAAATCCTTTTTTATGAGGATCGAAAAAAGTAAATAATTATTATTCTAGTTTACTTGTTAAATTAAATCCTTCTAAAACCTGAGTAGAATTAATCCATTAAATAAACCTTTTATAAAAAAATTAATTTTTATAATTAGAAACTATATTAAATTATTCTTATAGATCCATATTTTATTTTGAAAAATATACGACTATTTGTTAAATACAATTATTAAGCCAATTTTTTTATGTCTTATTTCCATTTATTTACTATTATAAAAAATTCATAAAATCATTCTTGTCTATACTATTTTTTTTATATTAATCTATAATTTTATACAATCTATCTATATTTTAACTATGTAAGTATTTATTTTCTATATTTATATTTATTTATAGAAATTTTTTCAAATCTTCTTTACTTATAAAACCATCAAAATCCTTATCTACTATTCTAAATGCTTCTTCATATCCAACATCTTTTTTTTTAAATAAAATTATATAATAAAATATTATAACTTTAAGTTTATAGCCATTTAATAATATTTTCTATTGCCTCTTCCTAGAATTTAAAATTATCTAAAAGTACATTTGATGTTTCCAAATTTATCCTTGTAAAAACTGCATTCCATCTCTAAAAATCAAACATTCCGATTTTCAGATAATCTAAATAAGAGAAAATACCGTTTTTAGCGATTTAACTCAATTAAATATTTAGTTTGCTCGTTAGATTTTCCGTAAACTCATTTATAGTAACAAAAGCATCTTAATTTTAATCTAAAAGTTTAAATGCTTCCCATAATGTAATATTTTTTAAACTAAACTATTATTTTAAATCTCTAATTATAGAATATAATTATTTAAAATCTAGTTAAGTATTCGGGAATAATCTAATCAATATATATATATATATATATATATATATATATATATATATATATATATATATATATATATATATTAAATATATTAATTAAATTATAATAAAGAATTATAGTATTAAAATATATATATATTAATTGAAAAAAAAAAGTTACTTATTTTCATCAATATAAGTATATCTTTTTAAAAAAGTTTCCAGATCATATTTATCAATAAATCCATCCTTATCAATATCAATAACTTCTGCATATATTTAAATTTAATCAGGATTTTTATAGAATATACTATTCTATGTATTTTTAATAAAATTACTAATAGATATTTATTTTTTATTAGCATTAATTTAATTTATGAATTTCTACACATCATTCTAACAATAAAGCTTGATATAAGAAATAAGAGACTCAGCAATATACTATAATCCTTAATGAGCATTAGAAATTTTCAAAGAACTATCGATTTTTTAAATAAAAGCAGAATAGTCAATATTCTAAGTGCCTTCAATTTTATCAATAAACCTTCCAATTTTATCAATTTCTTTTAAACTTAAATTTAATCCACATTACAATAGACAAGTCTTGAAATTCGCAATATCCAAACATCCTTTATTTTATTAATCCATTTAATAAAATTTATTTAATAAAGATTAAGGGTCATCGCTATTCATTAATTATTTTTTTATTTTTTTGTACATTTAAATCAACCATTCATCTGGCACGTCTTCTTGTTATGAAGACTAAATTATCCCATTATTTGTTGATTTTATTAATAAATTTATAAATTTATTTAATTATATGGATTTTTAATCATCAGGTAATATATATTTTTTACAAATTCTCTCTGCTTCATATTTACTAGAACAAAGGAGCTTTTTTAAACCATTTACAACTTGATTTTCGGTTAATTCTTAGTCTTAACGTGATAGCTCCATTCTTTTAAATATATCATCTAATGTAAGGTTATTTTTTTCTATTGAATTTCTTATATATTAGATCGGATTATCTATTTATTTTATTTTTTATTTTCATTTAAAAAAAAAAAAAATACTAGAAAATTAAAAATGATTTTTCCATTCATCAAAATCAATAATATTGTCCTTTTTATCGTCTATTTTTTTAAATAATATTTCTACTTCAGAATTTTGGAATTCATAGTCTATTTTTTTTAATGCTTCATGAAATTATGTTATGTCTATTTTACTATTTTTATTTCCTTTTTTACCAAATATTGCTATTATAAGCTTATTAAAACTCTATAATTTTATAATTTTGTTTGTTTTTTTTTTTATATTTTTTTTTTATTTTTACATCATCTGAATTAAGAAGTGTATTTCTAATAAATTTTTAGAATTTTTTAAAAATTTAATTTTCTTGAAATTCAATTTTCTGATTTTCATCTTTTAATTAATTTTCGTTTTCTTTTTTATCTTCTTCCACTTATACTTATTTCTTAGATCTAAAAAAAAGAAAAAAATAAATATATATATATAAAATATAATATAATAATAAAAATACTTATAAGCTTTCTATGTTACATTATCTTTTAGTAATGTATTTGAATAAGTTTTATAAAATTATGATTATTAATCAATTTTAGACATAGCATCAGGGGTTTTCGAATATATAGTTTTTTATTACCAATCTTTTTATATATCAATATTAAGATTTTTAGCAAGCCATTCTTTTGCATTTTCATCAATTTTCGTATAATTTTTTTTCTTTTTATTATATTTTTTTTTTTTGATATATATTTTTTAATTTTATTGTTTTACATTAAATTCATTCAATTTTTCTTCTGTCAAATTTTCTTGATTTTCTAATTTATTTTTTCTTTATTCTATAGTTTATTTAAAAATTCCCTATTTTTTTATTTTTTTTAAACAAAAATATATTACGATAATTAAAAATATTATTTATTATATAATAATACTAATAATTGATTGCATAAAAAATCATTAAAATAAACTGCACATAACCCATTTCTTATAATTAAAGTTCCTAAACAAGGTATTTCTAAAGTAAGGCTTTAATTTTCTTATAACTAAACAAAACAAAAAAGAATATTTTAAAAATAAAAAAAACATACTTATTTTGCTGTTTATTCAATTCTCTATTTTATTCTTTATATAGATAATTAAACAATATCTCTTTCTATTTTCGCAATGTTCGCAATTTCACTAAAAGAACAAATAATCGTTTAAATTTTTCCCGATGTACTGCTTAATACTAACGGTCTTAAACCTGTTTCTCTATATACTGCGCTTTTTAGATTTAATCCCTAAGCGAATTCTTTAGATATAGCAAAAACAGGTTCACGATTTTAAGGATTTCTAACGTTTTCGTTGGTTGTACACTTTTTGTTAATTTAGTTTAATTTAATTTTTCCTTTTTTATATTTTTTACCTGAAGATTCACATCTGGAAATGAAAATGTGAATAAACCGAATTTGGGAAGAATTACTGATCTTCCAACTTATAATTATCTTTAAATATATTTTCCTATTATTATTTTTTTTAAATATATATATTTTAGATTTTAATTTGTATAAATACCTAATGAAAACCATACATTATGTAATATCTCTGGATCTATTACTCCTTATAATTGAAATAATCTAATTTTTTTTTGAGGTTTTATTGAAGTCAATATTATATTTTATTACTTAGAATTATTCATTAATGATACTTCGTTAATTATTTATTATGTTCTTTCAGATGCTTTTGATATTTCTGATTGAATAGATTTGGCCATATTTTTTTATTTTTTTTTATATTGTTAAAAAATTTTATTTATTTTTTTATTTTTGGTTTAGATAGTTAAATTATATAATTAAAAATATTTTATGTAAATAATATTTTTTTTTTATATAAAATATTTGTATTAAAAGACAAATATTGTTAACTTTTTTTATTTTTTTATAGAAAGATTATAATAAAAATAATAGTAATATTTTTAAAGTAATAAAAAAAACTTATAGTTTAAATTAAATAAATATAAAAATAATACTAAGGAAATTTCAACATTTTATAAAAAAAAGATAATATAATTAAAATAAAGATTTAATAATAAAATATTAAATATATAATATAATATTAAATTACTTATTTTATTAAAAAATATTTATTAAAAAAAATTAAATATATATAAATTATAATTATTTCATTAAAATTATTGATAAATACAAAAAATCTAAATAATAATCAAAATATTTATTTAAAACGATATATAATAAAACATTTATTTATTTTTTAAATTTTTTTTTTTTATAAAATTAAAACTAAAATTAGCGTTTTATATATAAAAAAAATATATATGCTAAAATACAATAAAATAGCCTGTACATTAAATAATTCAGCCGCAATAGACAAAAACGGTGAATTATATATATGGGGGTTAGCTAAATCAGGACTATTTGGGACTTAGACAAAAATAAATTAATATCAACCGTATTGTATGAAAATAAAAGAAATGAACAAACAATACAAGGCAATTCATATATCAATGGGGCTAAATCATATAGCAGTTTTAATAAATGATTCAATTTTAGATTTAGTTGATTCTACAGCATCACCATCAGCAAATATATAAGTATATAACAAATTATAATACAATTATATAATTTGTTTGTTTTTTTTGTTTTTTTGTTTTTTTTAAATAAAGAATATATTAAAAGGACATTTAAAATAATTTTTAGAATTATAATAAAATAATACAATGGATATTTTAAGCCATTTTGAGAGTAAAATTATAAATCATAGATACGTCAAAACAGATTTAATCTAATAATTTTTTGATTTACATGATTTTCCTTTTCATGGAATTCCTCCTCCTGAGGATACACCTTAATCTAGAATTAATGAAGATGATTATAAAATGAAATTATAATAATTTAATTTTTAAGTAAAATAAATTTAAGAATAATAAATAGAAGATAATAAATAAGAATTTTTTGATTATTTTTGTTTTAAAAATCCAAACTAATTTAATATTATTTAATATTTTTATTCAACTAATAAAAAACTTAAAAAATCAAAAGTTCTAATTTGGGGATTTATGGAATCTGGAAGATTAGGAATAGATGAAAATTAAATAAAATGTATATATAAATAAATATATATATATATATATATATATATTTATATATATTTATATATTTATATAAACTTGATTAATAAAAAGTACTTAATTAAAGAAGTTATAGTTATAGTGGAAGTTTATCAGATTAAAGTTTTAGTTCAAATTAAAATTATTCATAAGAATCAAATGATGAATAAGGAAGTGATGAAGATGTATTTTTTATTATATTTATTTTAAATATAATACTTTATAATATTTATTTTTAATATAAAATAAGAATAAAAATCAAATTTATGATATATAAGAACTTGAGCTTTAAGATAAAGAAATAATTTATATTGCTTGTGGACATCACCATACATTAATTATTGACGAAAACAATTAATTATATTCTTTTGGTATGGGAAAAACAGGTAAATTATAATAAATAATATATATTAATATAAGCATAATTCTAATATAATAATATAAAATATATTTATAAAAAAAAAATATATAAATATGTTCATATATTATATTTTTTATATATATAGGTTTATTAGGAAATGAGCATTTAGAAGATGTTAAAATTCCTTAATAATTAAATTTAAAATAAAAATTTGTTTAAGTAGCGTGTGGTGCCACACATTCATTAGCTCTAACAATTTCAGGAATAATATTTAGTTGGGGAAAAAACTTAAGAGGTTAATTAGGGCATGGAAATCAAAACGACTGTTTAAAACCAAAAGAAGTTATTTAAAATGATATTATTGCAGAATATATAGATTGTGGTGATTAGCATTCAGCTTTTGTTTCTAAAAATAAAGAACTTTATAGTAAAATTAATAATAAAAAAAACATATATTTAATATAAATTAGCCTGGGGAAATGGTTAATATTATAGATTAGGCCATGGTGTAACAACAGACGAACTAATTCCTAAAAAAGTTGTTGTTTTAGAAGATTATTACGTAACTCATGTAAGTTGTGGTATGAATCATACATTAATAGTTACTGGAGAAGGGTAATAATAAAATAAATAAATAAATAAATATATATATATATATATATATATATATAATAGGTTTGTATATGCTTGGGGTGATGGAATGTATGGAAAACTGGGTGTTTCCGAAGATTGTAAAACACAAACATTGCCCACTAGAGTGGGAATGATATGTAAAAAATTTCGAAAAAATAAAATGTATTACTAGGTAGCAGCAGGCAGTATGCATTCACTTGCCTTGAGTACAAATGGTTAAATTTTTACATGGGGAAGCTCTAAAAGTGGTAATTTGGGAATAGGCTATAATAAGGATATATAAGATTATTATACTTAACCATAGAAAATAAGTATTAAATTAAATAAAGATAAGAATTTGTAATTTTTTAGTTTGCAATATTATTAGGCAGAACTTAATAATAAATTAACAAAAGCCAAAAATAATAATAAAAATTAAATTAATTTAAATGATTCGTTAGATAATATTGAAGTAATTCAATTCAAAATAGATATGTACCCTTTATATATTATAGACAAATAATTAATCTAAAGAGGACCTCCTTCAAATATCATTTTTTGCTAAGCTAGCTAAAATAATTCCTTTTTTTTGGCAAATAATGGATAGATTTTCGCATGTGGAAGTGTAAAAAAGGGGATGTTAATAATAGACCCAAAAAACATTCAAATTATACAAAAAAAGAAAGAATAATTAATTATGAAAGAAAACGAAATTAACCAAAATAATAACAATTTAAATGACGAAAATATGTCTTTACACAATAAATCAATTAGAAATACTAATAGTAAACTAAATTAAAATAGTATAGTGAGTAAAAAATTGAAATAATAAGCCAAAACTAAAAACACGAATGAAATAGATACTGACTTAAATGATTTTAATAGGCCATTTTAAATTTAATATTTCAAAAATAATATAATTAGATATATTTCATGTTCATATTTACATGCAATAGCTATTTCATAAAAGTAATAAAAATTTTAAAAATAAATATATAAATAAAAAAAACTATATGTAATTATATATATATATATATATTTATATTTTAATATTTAAATATATATATATATATTTATCTTAATAACTAAAATGTATAACATTTCATTTTTTTTGATTAAGATTTTTAAAAAAATTAATAAAAATATTATATTAATAATAAAAAAATAGAGGATAAGCGTATGTTTGGGGTAAAAATATATATTATTAATTAGGTGTTGGATATAGTTGTAATTATAATTACATTCCTTAAAAACTTTAAGGTATATTAGAAACTAAGACTATAATAATGAGTGCTTGTAGTGATAAATTTTCAGCTTTATTAACAGACAAAGGTGAAGTTTGGACTTTCGGAACTAGTGATTGTGGTGTATTAGGACATTAAGAGAAGAATTATTATGTTGTCCCTGAACCTAAGATGGTAAACGATATTCCTTAAATGATATATATTGCGTGCGGGCCATAGGGGATGGTAAGTATTTCAGCACACAAGAGATAATTATATGCATGGGGGAATAATATTTATGGATAATTAGGTATTAAAATTTATAGAACAGAAATGAATGTTAATGAATATGATGAAGATAAAAATGGGAAATAGTAAAATAATGAATAAATTAAACCTGAAGAAGTAAATAAAAAAATTGCTAAAAATTAAATAATTTATATACCGAAAAAAGTATTAATTGAATAAGAAAAAGAAGTATTTAAAATATAATATTATATATATATATATATATATATATTATTATAATGTAAAAGGTATAAATAAAATCTGTTGATATGGGAATGTTTCATAGTGTAGCTATAGATAATAATGGTAAAATTTATTCATGTGGATTAAGAATATATTCAGGATAAGCAAATGTTTTTAATGTAGAAGACGCTAAAGGAATCGATGATTAGTTTATTTTAATAAGAACTAATGAATTATAAAATTAATAATTTATTTAAGTATCGTGTTCCGAATATCATACTTTGGCCTTGTCAATATAAGAATAAGGTGAAGAATAGGCAGTAAAAAAAAAAAATATAAATGCATATATATATATATATATATATACTATATATATATATATATATATTATATATATATTTATCCATTTTTATATATTTTTCATTTTTTAATAAAAAGTAATAATATGTATATGCATGGGGATTATGTAATCTAGGAAATTTAATATTTGAAAATTCTTAAGATATTGTTAAATATTATTAACAATTAAAATAAAAACCCTAAAAAAGCTAAGACTTAAACAAATACATAAGCTAAAAATAAATACTATTACCACCAACTAATATTTCTTTAATCTAAAAATTTATACTAACTAATCCTGATAGAGAAATAATAAATGAATTTTACAAAAAATCAATAAAATATGTATCAGCTGGTATTTTTCATAATATAGCTATCGGATCTGACGGTAAATGCTTTGTTTGGGGTTCTTTTTAAAACGGGAAATTAGGTTTAGTTGTAAATAAATAAAACTCTAAAACATAAAATTGTCCTACATATGTGCCTATTATTTAATAATCGGATAATATATATGATGATGATAACTTACTTAATTCCTAATAACATATTAGTGATTAAAGTTTTTCTATGAAGGCTAGTAAGGCAAGATCTTAAAGGAAGAACTTTGACAATTTAAGTAAACAAAAAGACCAAACTTAGAAAGATAATAATAATGAAAATGAAGATGAAGAATATGAAAATGAACTTTTAAATTAAAAGGATATAGAAATTGATATTATTGAGTAATCTTCATATGATTCGGATATTACTACTGATAATTTTTCATCTTTTAAGTCTTAGAGTGATGAATAAATTGTAGAAGATGATGACGAATAGGTTTAAAGTGATAATTAGTAAAAAATTTAAAGTTTAGGTAAAAATATAGTATTTTCTTTTATTTATTCTTTAAAAAAAAAGAAAATATAAATGATATTGAAAATAATTCAGTCAAAATAAATTTAGCTTCATCTTATTTTAATATATAAAAAAAATAAGATTATGTAATATAAATATTTAGTTTTAATATAAAATAAATAAAGGTATAAAAAAATATCCAAAATGAAGAAGATTAATAAAAAGAGGAATATTTAATCAAACAAGACACTATTTTAGAAGAATACTGTAATAATATCTTCTAAGAAAGTTTAGTTTAAGTAGCCGAATTCGAGCGTAGATTTTCCATGTTAGAAAGTAAAATAGACAGTATGCTATCTCAAAAAATAATCGAGAAATGCAAAGATAATTCAGTGGAATTGCTTGAAAATGTTTAATTTAATATACCCGCTTTTATAATAAAAAATATTTAATTATATGAAACTATGTTTAGTTTACTATATCATCACCCTTGTTATATAATAAATTTAGTAAAATTAAAAAAGTTAAACCATTTTTAGTTAAAAATTTTGATTAATTTATTATATTAAAATACTATACATAATGGATGTTCAAATTTTACATTGATAACACTTACTTTATAAATATTTAAATATGAATTTGAAAATTAAATAATTTAGGTTATTTTTTTTTAATTATATATTATATATTATATTTATATATATATATATTAAATAGTTAAGTGATATAAAAAATATTTAAAATTAAAGTCTATTTTGGCATTGTTATACTTTACTTTTTAAAAAATAAAAAATAACAGTGGATTATTTCAAAAAAATGGCTGTTAAAATTATTAATGATATCAATTCAAAAGTATACTCTAAAAGTATTGAATTAAAAAAAAGTGATTAAGTTAAATATTTGTCGAATTCTTTAGATTACTAATAAGGAAATAAAGAGGAAATTTAAAAAAAAGCTACTCTATTATTTGAAATAATTAAAAGTATATAAATAAATGTATATATATAAATATATATTTTTATTTATATATTTTTATTATTATTAATATTATATTTATTTTATTAGGTTTAGCAAAAACTATTGTTTCTGATTTTTAAGATAATTAAAATAATAGAAATTAAATTTTTTCAGATGAACTTATTTTTGTTCATAATAAATTTGTTAAAATTATAAAAAAAACTTTAATTACTAAAGAATTAGATTTAGAATAAGATTAATAATAAAATTCTAACGTAAAATAAATAAAACATTTATATAATTTTTTTTTTACAAAAATTAAATAATAAATAAATATAAAAAACAGAAAAAAAATTAATAAAAATTATAATATATGGAACATAGTTTAGAATAAAAAATAAATAATTTCATTTTTTTAATTTCATATGGATTCTTATTATATATTATTGAAAATTTCGATTATTTTAAATTATAAATAGAATAAACATGCATACCAATAATAAAATCCTAAGTAAACTTAAAAGTACTTGCAGAGTTGTTAGAAAAGTTTATATGCAAAGGTAATATTTATATATAATATTACTAAAAGCGTATATATAAATGTATTTATATATATAAAAAGATACATTTAATAATTGTGATTAATCTTTTAATGACTTAAACTATTTTATTCTTGAAAGAAAATTTAATGATAACAAATCTAAATCTAAAAATAATAATTATGATGACTAATCAAATTAAGATTAATAATTACCTTAAGAAAAACAAAGCATAGATACTTAATTAATTTAAGTTTAAAAAAGTCTTTATTCTTAAAGTGATTTTAGCTTAGCAATAAGTTAAATATAGCATTTAATTAATAATTTTTCTAATATGTAAGAGGAATTTATATAAGTTCCTTTACATATGATTTTTTTGATTTAAAATTTATACGTTAATAATGAAAGTGATAGATAAACTGATAAAAGTTTATTTATTAGAGGTTCTATTATTAAATATAAATAAAAAATATATAATAATTAAAAAAGGAAATAAAGATCCCATTTATATTATAATAAAATATTTATAATTTAAATATATTGATTTAGGTTTATTTTCTACTGAAATATAATAAAGATGTGTAAATATGAAATTATAATAAAATTTTGTTTATTTAAATTATGTTAATAACAAAAACTTAGATGAAAATAACGAAGAAAAACAAATTCCTAAAGAAAAATTATTTAGTATATAAAAGTAGATTTTATATAATAAACACATATTTATTTATTTTCTATAAAAAAAAAGATGCCAAGATTGTCATACTATCATTCCTATATAATATATTAATTTAGAATAAGAAAAACTAATAAATGAATTATAAACGTAAGGTTGGACATGTTCTAAAGTAAAACAAAAACAAAAAAATTAAAAATTATAACAAAAAATAGAATCATTTAAATTAAATTAATACATATAAATGTATAGAATATTCTTGTGGTGAATATATATCAGAAAAAGCTATAAAAAATATAAAAATATTGAAATTTTTTAACTTGAATAAGGTTCTTAAGTAAGTATATTCCATATATTAGAAATCTATAAGCGAAAAGAAAAAATACTTCTTTTAATTTAATAAATATTATATAATTCAACCCCTATATTAAGCGGAATTCGTATGTATGATTAACTTGAAGAAATAAAAAAAAACCAAAACTAAAAGACATTCCAGAACTAAAAGAAAATATTGATAAATTGTTCGAAGTTTTATTAAAACCTTACTATGAATAAATTGAATAAAAAGTAAATGAATCTAAAATTAATTTAAGTGCAAATAAATAATAAACAATGAATAATTTAATGGATTAAAATTCAGATATAGATTAATCGATTGATCCAGAAGAATATAAAAAGAAAGAATTTTTCGATTAATAATTTAATATGTATAAAGAATAACTTAATATTGTAAAAAATATTTAATTTTTTTTTTTTTTAAATAAAAAAAATCGTAGATTTTAATGAAAAGAAAATATCATAGTAAATAATAATAATAATACAAAAAATAATTAGATTATACAAACTCTATTTTAATATAAAACTTAACATTAATTAAAAATAAGTTAATATTATTATTTATTGAACTATATAAATATATATATATATATATATATATATATTATTAATAATTATTCAATTAAAAAAAACAGATTAGATTAAAAAACATAAACTTTTGAATAACTAAAAAAGAATCTTTTAAATGAAAAACAAAAAGAAATTTCTATTGTGCAAAAATTCCTAAATACTGAATAATAAAATAATGAAGTTGAAAAAACTAATTCATAATCATAAAAAAATTTATAATATATTCCTAAAAAACCAGATGCTTTTGCTTATTATACTACATAGAAATTACTTAAAGAAAAAATTTTAGTTTCTATTTTATTTAAAGGAATGAGTATTAATGAAATGTAAAATATAAAACTATATTATTTTTTTTATTAAAAATAAATAAAATAAAAAGTGAATAATCTATAAAATTATATATATTTTGTAATAATACTGGAGGTTTTGAAATATAAATTGTTTATGCAAAAGAAAGTTTTCTAGATTATCTTGCTAAATATATTCCTTAAGTATATCCTACAAGAATTTTATTACATAAAATATATATACCTGCAGTAAATTATTAAGAGTTAAAAAGATTATCTTTGAATAAAACTAAGTATAATTAATATTTATTTTTTTATTTATTTATAATTATATTTATTTAAGTATTTCTTTTTAATCTGATACTATGTAAATAACTTTTAATCTATCTTTTTTTACAAAAATGTTATAAAGATTAGAAAGATAGATAATAGATGTGATTTGAGTTTATTATTTTTAAAAAATAGATTGTTAAATTATATATTTTTTATGTGTTTATTTTAAAAGAAATTATTTATAAAAAAAAATATATTAAATAAATAGATAATAATAATTTATTTACTAAATAGATAATAATAATTTATATATATATATTATTTTTATATTTTAAATTAAACATTTTTTATGGAAATAAAAAAAAATCTTTAATTAATACTATACTTTAAATTATTAAAAATAAAAAATAAATGTAAGATTTTTCAAGTAAATTTAAAAATTTAGTTGATTGTTTAAATAGCACTGGTAAATCACATTTTTCTTTTAAATATAAAAAAAAAACCTAAATTTAAAATAATAATATTTAAATAAAAAAATAAACAATATTCACAAAATAAACTTTTATTAATAATATAGAATTCAGAGATAGATTATTAAAAGTCTTATAATATTTTTATCTTGCTAAATCTTGGTACAAATATGATAACTAATCTCAATACAATCATAATTTTTAAATATATTGTATTTTATAAATAAAAATAATATATATTTATTTTTAAAAAGAAATAAAAAACTAAAAATACCATTTAATAATATAAAAATAGAAACAATATATGACTCCAGAAGATTAATAAGACTAATTAAAGGAATAAATTGTATCCCTAATATAGAAGATTTATTAAGAAATTTAAAAAAATAAAACAGAATATAATAATCATGCTTATTAATTACAAATATATTTTATTTTCTTTTCTATATAGTTGATAATGTTGCAATTTTATCCAAAATAAACTTCCTCAAACTCAATTATAGGGAGATTAAAAAGTATGGTTATTCTTTATGGTTTATAGGTCTGATTTCAGCTTTAGCTTATTATATAATAAAACTTAAATAATCATTTAAAAAAGAATCAGAATTAAAAACTTTAATGCTTAATAATATGACTCCAAAGGAATTTTGTCAAATTGTAATTTATATTACTGATGAAAGGAAAAATTACTCATTGAATATTGCTAGGATTTTAGGAGATATTATTGTTTGTTTATAAAGAAATAATCTACCAGAATATATTCTTCATACAAGATTTAATAGAGGTTTAGTAGCATTTGGAGGACTTTCTTCTAGTTTTATTGCTTTTTATTAATTTTATAGTAAGAATAAAATGTAAATTTCATAACAATAGTAATAGTAATAAGAATAATATTTAAAAAAATAAAATTGAAAGAGATAAAAAAAAAAGATTTTTATTTTTATAAATTTTAAAATAATAAAAAAATTAAATTAATTAATATAAATATTGCATTATTTTATATATAACTTTTTTATATATTTTTTATTATTTCTCCATAAAAAAAAATTTTTTCTTAAAATTTTAATAAAATACAAAACAAAAAAAAGGTCTTTTATTATTTTTTTGCATTCGTATTTATATTTAATTGTATGTTTTATAAAAAATAAAATAAAAATAAATAAAAGTAGGTTATATTTGAAAAGATATTTTTTTTTTATTATTTCATTATTATTTAATTTAATTATTTATTTTAATAATAATAATATTATTAAACATCTTTATTTAAAAAAATATCAAAGTGAATTCATTTTTATTTATATTTTGTAAAAAAAAAAAAAACTTATAAACAATACTTTTTTATATTAATTTTATTATTATTATTTATTAAAAATGCATATTTTATTATTTATATATTTATATATATATATATATATATATATATATTATTTATTATTATTATTTCTATTATATTAATTATTTTATTATAGCATTTTTATATTATAATTAAAAATATATATTTATAAAATAATGAATTTTTTTTAATATATTTCATTAAATATATATTATTTGAAATAAATATTTTATTTAAAATAATTAAATATAAAATTAATTAATATTTAATTATTTCATTTCCTT